TTTTATTAGTGTAGACTAGATGACCCTATTATCAACTAGTTAATTTCTTCCACTTGTGAACCTACTTATATTCCCAGTCCTTCCAATTCTAGATGACTATGAAAAATAAGTTTCAATTGTGCAGAGGACAAATACTTTATTCTTCCCCACATGAGCTCTTTCTAGTTTTAAGGATATTCTAGGTGAAGGTTTTCTGGGAGTTAGCAAACAAGTGTTCATTCACATTGCTCACATCCTTCATATTTTTATAGACACCTTGATGTATGCCTTCTGACTTCTGGTCTCTGCTGAAGTCCTAATCCTTTCCATCTCTCCCTGCTCAGCTATTCAAGTGGCCCTTCTCTGGACCTTCCTTAGCTCTGCTGTGACTTCCTTGAGCTGCAATCACCAGAACTGATCCACCTACATTACACTCTGTCAGGGCCAGCCTGACAGGTTGAACCGGGCTGAGGTAGGGAGGTGGGAATTGAGAAAAGAAAGAAAGACAGGAGAGCAGGATCGGGAGGACTACAGGTCAATCGAGGAGCTGCAGTAAGTTTATTAACCACGCAATGCCTTTTATATGCAAAACACTGAATAGGAGGTCTGTCAAGAGGAATGTATTCTTTGTTCCTCTTAATCTCTAAGGGAGAGATAGAGCAGAAGGACAAATTCTCGGTACAGCAAATCTCAGTAAATAGTTACAGACTTCTTGGTAAGCCATGAAAGGCTGTGCTCATTCTACAAAGGTTGCTCTCATTCTACTGATAACCGCCATCCAAACAAGTCTGGGAAAACTGTGTGGGTAAGGGTCCCAGCCTTGCTAGCCCCTTCAGGTGCAAGGACCATGTCAGCTTACACCTGGTCTCCAACAACACTCAAGCATAAATGACAACCAAAACAAAATTTCACTGAAGGAACTATTGGAAGCAAAAATAAAATTGGGAACTTAGCATTAAGACAGCCTGTAGAGAAGCAAGCATAGTTTTAAAAAACTATGTGAGAAAATATGAAAATTAATCTCTTTGTAACAACTGGCAGATTGGAGAATGGAGAAAAATTAGTGTTTTAAAACAGTTGTTTTATTACTTCCAAGTTTCAAACCTTCCATCACATGTGGAATAAAATCAAGCTCACCACCATGGTCAATGATCTTGCCTCTCTCTGTGTCTCCTACTTTACCTCCATCCACTTCCACCTTACTCACTCGTTCCAGCCAGACTGGCCTTCTTGCTGCCCAGGAGGCACTCCATCACATTATGACTTCATGGCCTTCATGCTTGCAGAACCATCTGTGGGGACTGCTTTCTCCAAGATCCCACACAGCTCTCTTCTGCATATCGTTCAGGCCTCTGACCAAATGCCACTTTCTCAGAGAGGCCTGCCTGGACCAGCCAATAGCCTCTCCTCTGTTCTTATCTTATCCTCTTACCTGCTATATTATTCTCATTCTCTGAACTTATTGTAGGTAGTAGTTTACCTTTGTATTATCAGTGTCCCCCATTAGAGTGTAAGCTCTGTGAAGATAAAGACTTCGTTTAAGCCAATAAATTTTGGGATACTTTGTTATGTAGTAAGAGAGAGCTAATAGAACAATATATTGAAATCATAAGTTCTAGATGTAAAAGGCATTGGAGTGGAGTTGGAAAGAGATGATAAAATGATGTGGCATAACTCTTTGTAGTTTATAAAGTATATTCACAAAAGTAACATGTATACAGAGAAGTTAAATAACTTTCCCAAGGAAAGAAGTGGAATGTGAAGTTTGACAATCCGGTTCCTTAATTTCTACTTGTAACTGGTATTCATTCATTCATTCATTCATTCATTCATCTATCCACTCATTGATGTATACATACAACACACCCATGCCAGGCACTAATCTACTTGTGAGGAGAATGCTCCATCTCAGCCTCCATGAGTACCCAGGATTCTGAACTTAGCTCTTTGTTCGGATACCTCTTTGGCTTAGTTTGCTCCTCACCTATCCCCCGTAGGCCCCATCTAGATGAGAAGAATCTTGTCTGCTGAGGGACCACAGGTGTGCTTCAAAACCTCTCTGTGCTCCCAGTTGCCTCTTCTGTAAACTGAGAATAATAATAGAACATACTTCATTAAATTGTTATAAGAATTAAGAGTTAATATATGAAAAGCACTTAGAATAATGTCTGGCACATGGTATGTGTTCAACAAGTATTAGCCGTTGTTCTCATTGTTTTCGTTAATAAAATTATAGTATTTTCATATGATTAGGACCTCAGAGACCAACCAGTCCATTTTTTTCTGTTCATTTTACAGACAATAACACTGTAGCCTAAGTAGCCTATTATACTGTGGCTGTGCTTTCCAGAGTTTAAAGGCTGAATGAGGTACTAGCAGAAAGAATACCATCTTTGTAGCCCAGCAAACCTACTTTCAAATTCCAGTTCTGTCACTTGCAAGTGTGACTTTGAGCTCACCTCTTCCCTTTTCTGAGCTTTTTAGGTCCTCAGTTGTAAAATAGGGATAACACAACCTACCTTGATGGATCACTGTGGAAAATGAAAAGTAATGACTGGAAAAGTTAATGACTGGATAATGTGACTAGCATGCTGCCTATGGATTAAGGAGCATTCAATCTCTGAGGCTGTCATAGCTGCCATCATGATTGCGCTAGGCTGCTGCAGATTGGGTGCCAGATCTCTGGGCCCTGACTGCCAGCCAAACTCACCCTGCACAGTCCATCTCTACTTAAAAACAAACAACCAAACAAAAAACAGGAATTTGCTTATACTCCTTTCTATCAGTTTTCTTTAATAACTATCTTATCTTCAGTAGATATTATCAGCTATCAAAAATTACCTGTGGCCCTGGCTGGCTTGGCTTAGTGAATAGAGTGTTGGCCTGTGAACTGAAGGGTCCAGGGTTCAGTTCTGATTAAGGGCATATGCCTGGCTCAATCTCCAGTAGGGGGCGTGCAGGAGGCAGCCAATTAATGATTCTCTCTCATCATTGATGTTTTTATCTATCTCTCCCTCTCCCTTCCTCTCTGAAATTAATAAAAATATATATTTTTAAAAATTACTTGTGCCAGTTGATAGATAAAATCCTGAAAGTCCTTTTTGTTTTTAAAGAAAAGAAAGGGGAAAGGGGGAGAGAAAGAGAGAGGAGAGAGAGAGAGAACTCCCACTGTTGGCCAAAAGCATTTAAAACTAGTCAAATTTAGGATGAGCATCTGTGCCTGCCTCTGCTAGGGAGATGGCAACTAAAACAACTTGTAGATGATGCCAGATGATGAGACACTATGTGCAGCAGTGATGTTGTGAATCTGACACATTTGTTGAGGTAGAAATAGCTAGAGAAATGTTCAGGGACTGATGGAAATTGAGCCAGACAATTTGCTTTCCTTTTGGGGGAAGCATGCTGAGTAATGAATAAACTCTAACTCTAGATAATAAGGCATGGCCCTCCAGGTCTATCAGAAAACAGATCTGTGGAACTCTAATGTCCATGGAAAGATTAGAGATGTCTCACAGTGGGGGTTGGGATGGGAAATGGGTTCCATGGCCAACTTTGAGAAACACCTCGCTCTCGAAGTTTTACAATGTTCATTTATAAATGAAAGATGCTGAGAAGTCCCGTAGGTAAGAAGCCTGTTTAATACATCTGTCCCTATATTTTCCTGAATGACTGGCACAATCCCCATCACCATCATGCAGAACAGTGGCTGGTAGGGAACACTATTTGGGAAACTGTACAAAGTTTAAAATCAGATCTTAATTTTATTGTGAGTCTCTGCTTCAACCATTTTAGACCAAGGATAAATGGCTAAGGAGAAGTGAGCCACACTTTGCTTTTTCATATCCTGTTTTCTATGTAGGGACAGAGCCGTAGCATCTGCTGACCCACATGTATCAGAAAGCAGAGCACAGACCTTTGTGTTCAGCTACTTATCACTAACCAGTAGTGGAATTCTCTGAGAATCGGCAGAAAGTAAACAAAATAAAATGAAAGGAAATTAACTTGGATTCATCTAGGGATGGCTTTGGAGCAGCCAGTGAATTGCCATTGTCTTCCATAGGTCACAATTTTTTTAAAATGTTCTTATTATGACTGGACTGTGAAATCGTGAAATAATTTGGGGATGGAAACTGTGGGCCCAAATAAAGCAACAAAGTGCATGTTAAGATATAAGTACTTTTAATGACAGAGATAATTATAACTGATTGAAGCCTGGAATTCTCTTACTATGTAAAATGCAATACACAAAAGAAGTAAAACGGAATCTCCTTACCACACTGCCATGTTCATTATCACCTACTAATATCTCTAAAGTTCAAAAGTGTTTCACCTTTTTCTCTTTTTCTCATATTTCCATCCTCTACTCTCACATATACACCCATCAAATGTTTTCTCTTTTGTCCTTAATTCCTTTCCTTCCTGCCTTTCACTGCGGCCTTTTGGGGGAAAAAAAAAAATAAGACAAGAGCATTCAGTGATTCCAAGATACCTGTAGGAATATCCAGTTCAAAGCTGAAAGATAACAAATCAACCATAAGTAGAATTTGGTAGTGATATATCAAAAAGAAAAAAAAAGAAAATTAGTTCAAAAATTATTAGGCTGTATCATCCCTTTAGTCTTGACCTTTCGGTAACTCATAAATAAATACCATCCAAATTTGACAGAAGTGAACTGCAAAATTCCCACAACAGCAATCTGACAGAAATATCATTTTTATTTGATGTCAAAAAGTAGAATTTCTTAGCTGTTTAATAAAATAGGAATTATTAAGAAAAGTAAATGTTGGATTTGCACCCAGATACCTCATCCACACTCAAGGTCTCAGAGCTCATTTGCATGTCAGCGACTTTACTGTTAGTTGGAAATGCCTCAACCTGGAAAGTGTTTTTAATGTAGTTATATTTCATTTGCTTAGACATGTATTTTTATAGTGAAACTATATATATTAATGTTGATATTATATATCAATATTTTATGTTGATTATGTATTCAATGTCTTTTTCTATTTGTCTGTCCCCAGGAAGCAAGTAACTTGGATAAAAGCACAACAAAAGCAGAGAGTGTTGGGCTCTTCCAAATGTGGTATGGCTTTGACCACAAGTATCCTTTGACAAAGATGACCCAGGACTGCTGCCCGCAGAGGTTACCCCAACACTTACCATAAATACAGAAAAAGGTAAAGTGAATTCACCACTAAATTTATCAGAAGCAGTAAAATTTCAGAAATGGAAAAGCTGTATCGTTCATAGTTAGGTGTTGCAAGAGGCTAAAGTGAAATCTCTGAGTCAAGTATTTCCCAGTGTAAGATGATAAAATCATAGAGTCCTGAGGACCAATCAGTTTTATTGTCTTTCCCTTTGTAAAGATCTTACTTCTGGTCCAGTTTGACAGAGACCAGATAAAGCTCCTTCCCCTTCTCCCAGGAGCCCACTCCAGTGCTTTTTTCAATACAGTAAATAATGGAGTGGGCAGGGCAATGGAGGGGCCAAGGAGAAAAATACTTCTGGTCATTACAAAATAGCACTACATAGTTTTCCAGGCAGACTTGAGTAAGCTTTTCCCAGTGAAGGGCAATTTTAAAATTGTAGAAATCCGTGTAAATACAGTGGCTCAGATATACCTGGTAGGTCACTCACAGGGCTGAGTCAGGCCTGAGAGTCCCTGCCAGTGTGAGCTGCAGGAAGCAATCCATCCTTAATTCCATGCAAAAACACTGCCAAAGAAAGGCAAGGATTGCACTGAAAACTGAATGTGTTGGGTCTTTATAATTAGTTTCCCATGGTCACAAATCCCTCCTCTTCCAGGGAGAAAATGTCAGTCACTGGGTGATTTCAAAGCAACTCAGCAATGATTAAAGCCACAAGAGATCAGTGAGAGAGGTAGAAGAATTAAGAACAGAGAAAAGAAATTCAAAGAATAATATGAAAAAGAGATAAAAATGGAACAGGGAGAGGAGGCAAGAGAAATACATAAAATTCATAGTAGAAAGGAAAGGAAAGCAAATTAGAAGAATGACTGTGTAGAAAACAAGTAAGAATGAAGTAAAGAGAAGCCAATTGAAATTGCAGAGATAAGCAAAAATAAAACAAGGTGAGAATTAGAAAACAATTCTGAAAAAGTAGAACATTTCAAGAATTACAAAATGGGGATGTGGAAAGTAGAGGTTTTCTGAGGATGTGGTTTTATTTTTCCATAGCTCTGTTAACTGTGCTCAGGTATCTTGCCATGCTCAATCTTGAGTTTTATGGACAATGCAAGTTGCTTCCACCTTAAAAGCAGTCCCTTTTGGCCATCAACTATCATTTGGAGGTTCTGGTATCTCATCAACTACCCAAGGCCTTCCCAGTAGAAGCTGGTTCTTACAAGGTTGTGCTAGATTATGTGCCTGGTTGATTTCTCTTCTGGAAACATAATTTCCCCTGCCCTTATTTAAAGTATCTGATAATCAAATTTGTACAAAGTTTAAAAATATGACTAAAGAGTACACTTAAAGGCTGCTTGGTTACGACAAGATGTATAATAAGAAAATTGTAACTTGGAAATGAGATAAAAGATGTTTCTGTTCAAATTCTGACTGTGCTGTGAAGAAGGTTTTATAATGAGGGAAAGGAATAAAGGGGGAAAGTGACTTTAAACAGAAAATGAAGATGGGAACCGCAAATGTTAAGCTGAGAGCAATGGCACTAAACTCAGATGCCTAGTTCTTATCTTACTTTTCAGCAGGGGCTTATTTCCATATCATTGTGGACAGACTAGCAACAAATCACAGCAGATTTACACTCTCAGTGACATCTGTTCTCATGGTAACTGTCTTCCTGTGCACTCATTCTAGAAAGTGCAGTGCTATCTCATTACACAAATGTGTCTTTACTTAGACAACAGCCTATTAACATCCTAACGAAGCTCTGAATGCATCCCGGAGAGCATCACACGTTTCCACTTGGTGGCCTCTTGATATAGTTGTAATGTTAGAGACAAAGGATTCACTTGGCATTGTATTTATACTATTGTTCACCTAGAACCTAGGTGATGTGCCCCATGAACCTCACAGGTAGGCTATGCTGGCCCCGCCTGTGGAGGGATGACCCTCCCACCCCGGGGTCAGGTTGCCTGGCCCGACCAAAAAAAAATTATTGTGAGGCTGAAAGAAATTGATTATGCAGTTTGGAGCTGCTCAAGTTTCATTTCAGTACAATTGCATCATGTAAGTGAGGCATCATAACAATTACTGACAAGAAAAAGAAGAATAAATAAGCCTTCATATGCACCTGTATTAATCAGAGACAGAAACAGAGCTGATAGAAGCTATATATATGCAAATACATACATGCAAGCATATATATGCATATGTATACACCCATACACACATATATACAAAACATGCATACATAAATATATCCATACACACATGCAAAAAGAGATTTTTTTCAAGGAATTGGCCTGTGATTGTGGAGCTGGCCAGTGCAGAATCTGTAGGGCAGGTCAGCAGGCTGGCATTTGTTGGTCAGGACGTGATGCTGCAGCCTTGAGGCAGAGCTTCTTCCTCAGGGAAACGTCAGTTATGTTCTAAAGGCCTCCTGTCTGATTGGATGAGGCCATCCACATTACAGAGGATATCTCCTCTACTTAAAGTGGGCTGATGGCAGATGTTAGCTCAACTACAGAATTCTCACCCAGATTAGGATCTTATTTAATAACTGGATAGTCAAGCCAAGTTGACACCTAAAACTAACAATCGCAGTACTCAATTCACAGTCAATGTATGTCTAATATTCAGATACAAGAATAGAAAAAGACTCTAAATTCACCATCATTATCAAAAAACCAAGCCACTGTTGCTCACCTAGTTTTGTTTTTTACTTCTTCATAGCATAATTAATACACACATACACTTCCATAACAATTTTCCAAAATTACAGGAGAATAAAAGTAATAAAAATTAACATTTGATGAGGATGGAGAGTGGATAAGTACTATGTGGAGTGTTTTATACTTACTGTTCATTTAACCTCCACAGCTCAGTAGAATATAAGGCAGCACAGACTGCTGTTTGTGTTGGCCTCTACTGAACCAACCTGGCTCCCTGTTCCAGAGCACTGTTGGAAGCCTAAGGGCCAAAATTAATGATTAATTAAGATTTCAATATTATTCAATGTGAGCAGCAATCCTGAGGCTTGCAGTGCAAAGGAGACATTGAAAAAGGGGAGAGGAGAAAGGGAACGGTTACTGAGCACCAGCACCTGCCATTGGGGTCATTATTTCACTTAATTCTCATAACCACTCTTTTTGTCTTATTTAATTCTTACAAGCACCCTTTTGATGGTGAAAGAAACAAATCTTCAAAGAATTTAACTTTCTTAAGGACCTATAGCTCATGTCAATTCTGAGATTCAAGCTCATATTTGTTTTATTTTAAAGTCCATTAGTGCACTTAAATGAACTTAATCACAATAGCTCTAGGTCCATGATACCCTATCTACATGTAAACCCCACCCTGCATGTTCAGAAAGTCACCTTCCATCAGTGAGTAATCAGGACTGCTCGCATGTGCAGTGCAGAGCTCACATCTCAAGCACTTATGAAGATCTACAGTGATAATGTCGGGGTCATTGTTGGTCACTACAAGAACAACACCATAAAGTAGCCCCAAGTTCTTAAGTCAGGTCCTTGATTTTTCAGGGGCAGAAAGTTAATATGCCAAAGACTTCAAGAATGGCTTAGCTTTATGGAGATGACACTAGCCAAACTGAAGGAGGCACAGTATAAACTAGACACTGGATTCCTAAATCATATATATTCCCATGACCAACCATGGGGAGGTTCAAGTTCTAATGTAGTCCCTAGTGTCTCTCCAACCCCCTTTCCCACTCTTGCTTCCTGGTCTTCCTGAGACACACCAAGTACAACCATGCTTCCAAGCCTTTGCACTGGCTCTTCCCTCAGACATTCACATACCTCCTCCTACATTTCTTCCATTCAACTTGTCAGTGAGACCCTCCTGGCTCCATATTTAAATTAGCAGTCCCAACAGGAGCACTCTTTACCCTTTCCTTGCTTCATTTTTCACCATAACAGTTATCACCATCTAACACAATATGTACTTTATTTGTTTTAATAATCTCTAACCAGGATATATGCTTTCTAGAAACAGGGATTTGGGTTTGTGTTCATTCATTGGTGTGTCCTCAAGGCATAGTACAAGGTTGGTACATGGTGAACACTCAATAAATATTTTTGAATGAGTGAATGAATGAATGAAGCAAGCAATATTTGCTATCCAGAGCATCTTCATTCTAGACATTGATGTAGCTGAAAAATCCCATTGATTATCTGAGGTTGCTAAATGAGTGTGAAAGTAGAGCAAGGCAGACTAGATATAATCTTAGTGTTTTTACCCAGGCTGCCCTTTGGCACTCAAAGGGCACACTCCATGTAGACATCCACCCTCCCCAGCCTCAATGTCCCTCTCCCTAGGCAGGAACATCTGCATCACTGACCTCCAATGGTTGGTCCATCCTTCCTTAGGCTTAATGGGTACATTCAAGCCTGGCTCTGGCTTAGAAGTTGCTATCTGTCTGGGTGATTTTGAATGCATCTTCTCTCACCTATCATGTGTTTATTTTATTAATATAAAAACTCAAAATTTTAGAGGCACCTGCCATCCTCACTAACAGTCTTTTATAATAAGAGACTAGGAGTAGAAATCAATGCCCCTTTATTCAGATTTTTAGTCATCAGACAAATTATTTACTTAGACTGATAGTGTTATAGCTGATGTGGGGAATCTTATGTTGTTCACAGTAACTAATGACCCTGTTGGGCTGTCTGCTTCCTTCCATTCCATTGTTTATCATCTCTCTCTTTATGCATGTGTGTACATTGGTCTTACACATGTGAATGACACCAGATAAGAATGACCTTTGCCAAAATAAAAAGGGCAACCTAAAATCATTTTTAGCACTTCCTGTATGCTGATATGAACTGAAAATAAGGAGTTATCATGTGGTTGTCAACATTTTACATAAGTGTGAATAAAGTGCAAAGATAACAATGGATTGGCAAGTTGACACAGTAACAGAATTCCATGAAGCCACGTGGAT